GGTAAGACCGGACATAATGCAAGAACCTGTCAGGAGGGAATTGAGGCCTCTGGAGATGAGTATAGTAACTAGAATCAATTAATTAGATGGTTTATGGTGCTTTTATTGCGATTTATTTAAAGAAGGTTGAGATTTTTGATCGGCATGCTTGTCTGATCGGCATGCTTATCGTGTACGTTATCCGCTAGATTGTTTTCTGAATCAGCCTTGCGGAAAGTCTTGTCTATGTACAGTGGCGATGATACGGCGCAAATGCATGTAAGCAGGGGCTATGCTAATGTTATTTTACAAATTTGTTATCTTGCAGCATTGCTCTCGCGATAAATTCTCTTCCTATAATCTTACATTGGATACCTTCTGTGGAATATCTCTAAGCGCCTTTCTACCCCGTCTGTAATGACTTTGGCTCGCTATCGGCAGGATGTTGAGGAGGAGGTTAGCATTGGAATTTCCGCCTTCTCACTGGCCAAGGTAGAAACCCTAGATTTGCGAGACCGCGCTGGGCAGGCCTGCTTTCTCTGCTTGGAGACTCCACTCCAAGGACAGTACGCTCTTCCCATACCATGCCTACGACCAACAAGACCCCGCCGAATTACTCAATACACTGGACTTTCTACGAACCCAAACAACCGAAAACCAAGGTATGAGAAAATACAGCCTTAGAGCAACGCGTGCGAGTCCGATACAGACATATACCAGAGACTGGTGGAGACATGTTACCAGCAGCTAGGCAAGTGGAATAGATAGCTGCCATATTACGGAATAACCGACGTGATAGAAGTCAAGGTGAGGGTCAAAACACCATGGTACCAGAAAGATCTAACATTATCTAAATCAAGTTTCGGTTTGCCCACACCGTTGACTTGGATAGGCATTATCCCATTCATATGAATATTATCAACATCGGAGAGACGCGGGAAAAGTGTAACATAGCCATACTGAGGCATTCCAGTCGACAACGCTTGCTGGGAACACGGGCCACACAGTGACGAATGCGATGTGAGAATGTCAGAATGGGGAGAGCCATGCATCAGGCTCGCTGCAAAGGAAGCAGAACAACGGCTCAAACTCCTTGATGACATCCAGCACCTAAAGAAGTGTGCTCGCGATCCAGCGAGCGCCAACGGGTTACGAACGCTTGAGGGAATGGCACAAGAAAGTTGTATCTATGATGTCAAGTATGAGTAGCATGGCCATTTTACAAGTACTTATCGCTAACCATCGCAGGGGCTCGAAAGCAGTCGTAATGCCTCTTCCGTATGGAGACTTTCGAGGAACAGATTGGATGAGAGGAATATACCTCGCTCTGGGGTGGCAGACAGATCGAATTGAAATTCCGTTCAGAGTCTCATGTTTCCTGCTCATGATCTGTTTTATTTGGTTTTGTGCAATACTATGGAGGGGAGGAGGAAGAGATTGGGGGACTTCCTTTGCCTTTGCACAGGTCGTTGCCGCATCTATTGCCATTGTCATTAGCTATGCTCGATTGTAACATATCCTTCCAATTTCGCAACGCCCAGCGGTGTGTTGAGTGGAATTTGGTGACACCAGGGGCTTCGAGCTTATTTCAATCTCCTTTGGCAAGTAAGGAGACTTTGGACCCTGAGCATTCATTAGGAACACATTCTAAGTAGTCTGAGTCTCCAAATTATATAAGCTATACAGTTTCACTTTAATCTAAACATTTTGAGAGGTCATCTTATACCGCATGTACTCAATCCTTCGCCATCTATAAGACTAAAAATACGCTAATTAAAAATGCAAATATTAACCTAAGCTTTATCTTGAGGTGATCGATCTATCAGCATTCAAAATATCCTATATTTCTCTCGACTTTCAACGCTTCTATGTTACAGTTCTTCATGCTTCAGACTCGAATTGGCTCTGTCGGAGCTCTTACTTGACAAGTCATCTTGTCCTGCCTCTAATGGAATAGAGGCTTCGGACATTGTTGAAGAATGTGAAAACTGGGAAGGCTTAGCCTTTAACTGATTCCGGCCATTATCGTGGATGAAGGAAATCAACGTCACCAGAGGAATGGGTTCGTGATAGTTGCCATCAAATGTAACCGGGGGGTGTCCACCAGCTGGGTACAGCTTCAGCGTTGGGTAGCCTGTAATCAACTCAGGGACATCGTTGCTACTGACATCGATTTTAGCCACGGATATGCTGTCTCCTAGACCGCCATCGCGATAGTGTATGGCGAGCTCTTCGAGGACAGCATGTGACCTAGTGTGCTGATTAGAGCTGATCTCTGCTGGGCGCGTAGCTCACTTACTCAAGACAATAATCACACCATGGCGTGTAGAACTCCACAAGGACATCTCGAGATTCATCGAAAGCTGTTTCTCTAAAGGTACGTCCGACCAGTTCGAGACAGAGACCTTGTTGCTTTTCTGGTGCAGGCTGAGATCGGACTTCTGGTTTCAGCTTGCCAGCTACAAAATCTTTGACAAATATTGTGATGCTTTCGGCATTGACGGGCTTACTCTTCAACGGGAACCTCTCTGTTGAGATGACATCCTCAATTGCAAAACCCAATTTGATGCCGTCGGCGAGATTCAGCATAGCCGCCCGCTGGGGGTACCTGCTTGTATCGACGGTAACAAAGGTCAAGACATTGGCATATCTTCGAGCTAGCGGATAAAGCGAGTCAACCAAATGATCGCGCTCTGTCAGAGACGGCACCAAAATCTGGGCTAGTGGCAAGTTGGTCTAATAGTATTTGTCAGCTATTGGGTTTCATATTAGCATACGATCAGGTTGGATTACCTCGGAGAAGCTAGCATAAACCTCTGGGTGTAGCTCTCCAATCAAGGGCGTCCCGTGTTTCTGGATGAACATCTCAAGTGACTCATGCTCAAAAGGTCCTTCGTAGCTGCTGCGACGCTCGTCAAATGTGCTGACAAGCATAATAGCCGGTCGGGTGATACCTTCATCGTTCGCTCGACTAGATTTACGGGTAATTGCAAAAGCGTATTCACCACGGAGCTTTTCAGCCACCTGTGTATATACTTCGATGGAGTCTTCGTCTTGATCATTAATGAAGGCGACGACTGAAACGTAATCAGTGCTCAAGAACTCATCGTAATTGGCATCGCTTAGTTCCGTAACAGCTGGACCATGTTGCCGTTCGATCAATAACAATAGTCTGTGATAAACAAGCTGCTTAGTGGAAAGCTTCTCGAGAGGGGGGGTTATAGTACGCTGAAGTGTCTAAGGCGCCGCTGTAGAGGGTGAGTCGATCACGGCCTCTTGAAAGCCTTACTTCTGGAACATGGAGAACCTTGACATCATCGCAGACCTTGCCCTCAGTTGAACAATCTACTCGTGCAAAGCTGGCCTTGGGGGATAGGTCTGAGGCCTGCTCGAACTGAGTAGTAATCTCATCGCACTTCACACAACCAGGGGTTACGAATAGAACAAGAGCAATGGTGTCTGAATGCACGAGGTCGAAGAAGTCCTGAGCGCCGAGGTCGCGGACTGAATGAGTCCAGACAAAGGTGCCATACGTGAGAAGTATGAGGGCATTGGTAGGAAAGAACATGGCGCAAGTTTACTTGAAACTGGAAAGGAGAGTAGTTTTTGGGAACAGAGGCGCAGTCGTGAAGTCGGCCTGTATGCAAGAACAAAGCTCCCATGACTTGTCGAGTTATAGTTGCGACATCTCTGATGACAACGACGGACAGCGGCTGAGTTCGGAGCACTCGTGCGTCTAGATACGAGCTCGAATATAATAGGGGCCATAAAGATGTTGCGTGGCCTTATCGTAAAGCAGTCGGGCATCCATCATCCTAAGATGCTTTTAAGGTTCAGCATCATCTAGTTTGTTTCAGCATCCGATGTTCGGTCAAGAGAAATAGCGAAGCATTTCCCTAAGCTTTTACACGTTTATCAAGTCTTGGGATACCCCTCACTAAATTCGGTCAGAGAGAAGGGCAAAAGTTTATGGGTTCTGTATTAGTGATGCCCGACCCCAGGTTAGTGAATTCATGCACGCTTTGACTTTATACTGACCTGAAGCTTATGCTGTCAGATCTCATGAATGAAAAGCGAGAGGAAAACCACGTGCACAATTTAAAGTTTGGATCCGGCCACACCATTCATCTGAGTTGCTCCTAGAACCGCGGGTCACTTGTGCACCTCGACAGAACGAGGTTCAGTTAATTCTAGAACGCGCGGAAACTGAAGTTCGCTACCCTGAAACAATCGTTCCTTTCAAACTATGCCAGAGACGGAAAGGCCACGGCACATTTTGCGAAGAAAGAGGGAAATATCTCGGCATGGCCCGAACGTACTGGTGTAATCTACCGAGTTGCGTATAAAAGTCAAATATTTCAACGTACTACTATTCTAATAAATGTATCACTTCGGTTCCTCCGTCCCTATTCCCCACACCCATTACCCCTGATTCGCAATCTACCTAGCAACCTTACTCGCCCGCTGCTAACCCCATGCTTCCACCAAATCTTCAAACGTCCAGGTTGGCAAGGTCGAAGACGATCTCACCCGCAGAAGGGCTAGGGATGACGGCGGAGCCAGCAAAAGATCCATTCTCATTACTCAGCCAAACGCTGAGCTTATCCTGGTCGCTAGTGTAGCTGAAGGTGACAGCAGGGTTTTCGCCGCACTTGTAGACCCGTCCTGAAGAGACAGTATCTTTGGCAGGCGGGTAACACTCGGTGTCAACGCCGGCGGCAGTGATGTGGAAAGTCACACCGTCTTTGTTGGCTGGGTCGAACTTGATAGCGCTGAGTTTGGCGGGCAGCTCAGCGCTTGCAAGGCCTCGTGCGTCGAGGAAGGGGGTTGCATGAGAGCCAACGACGAGGAGGCTCAGGACAGGAATGAGGGAAAACATGATGTTTTTGGAGAAAGGGTTATTGACAGGAGGGAACTTGGTCAAATTTGAGATGCAGTGTAGAGGTTTGTGAGGAGCAATCAAGTCTTGTAGATGGTGTCGATAATCGATGATGCAGGCCAACACTCAGACAAGCGGGCACCAGCTGGTATATGTATCATTTAGACTTGATGCGTCTTTGGCCTAAAGGCAGATCGGAGTTTCTGCCGCTCACCGATAATTCACTTACCCCTTTATGACACCGAGACCTAGCATGCGGGCTGATCTTTCTGGGCAATTCGTGTAAAGACAGATTTCAGATCAAGAAAAGCTCCAGTGTCTCAAACAGATACTTGTTGCGCTCTTGAGAGTCCACGATGGGCTTTCCTGTGTCTGACTGGTTCCACGTATCAGCAACCTCAGCACGGTTGTCGTGAGCATGAATGTAGAGATTCCCAAGTCAGAGCTTTCTCAAAGCTATACGAGATAGAACGGCAATTTCGAGAAATAATACGAGGCATCGTGGTGCATTCTATTGGCTTTGAAGCCTGGCAGACTATCGCACGGACGTTTTCAAGAAATCGCCGTGTAAAATGCGTCATTTCGAAATTTGTTTCCAAGTTCAGGACTGCGTACTCGTCGTCTCAGGACGAGCCTCTGGCTAGGGTTCGAAACTTTAAACACAATTATAGACTTTCCCTAGGAAAGTTCTGCGCAAATTTCGGTGTCCTGAAGGGGGCGGCGGTCGAGTATGTTGGTCGTCAAGGCTAACTAACAAGTTGGACACGATTATAAGAAGGCTATCATTGTACGATAAAGATCCAAGGCTGAACATAACCAGGACCAGAATTGTAGCTTCAGCAAAGCAAAAACAATACGCATTCCTTAAACAACTCTTTCTACTCATTCTTTCACCCCTACCACCCAATCCCAATGAAGTTCAATCTCATCATCATAGGCACCCTCGCCATTGGGCAGGGACTTGCTGCTGACTACAACCTTCACGCAACCTACACGGATGAGTTGGTCAACGTCGGCAACCTTGATTCATTCTGGAGCGTCTGGAACCGCATGTACGATGTGTCCGACGACAAGGGCGGCCTCTCCGACCACACCACCTGGCAGTACACCGGCAACTGCAACTCCGGGTACGCCAAGCCCAAGACATCTGTTCGAGTTCAGCTCGATGGTCAATGGGGAACAGTTGGCAAAGCCAGTGGTTGGCAAATGCGCGATGCGCTCATCCAAGCTATGTGGGCAACTGTTCAGGCAGCTGGTCAGCAGAACCAGTACCCCGTCTACACCGACTGCAGTGGCTTTACCTGGCAGGAATCTACTCCCAACAACAAAA